GGAGAAGCAGTGAGCAAAATCGTGCGACTGGAAAAAAATTTCGAATTTCGATTCCGGCGAGGGATTTCAAACTTCCGCCTCCGTTTCTCGCCGTGAAATCTGAGTTTCTTTCCGTTTAGACCAGTCGTCATTTTGCGGCGTCTCGACTCTCGCGAGGTTTATCTATTAGCTTCTCATGAGGTATCAGGTTCGTTCGTATCGGTTTTTTTTGCCTTTGCCTTGGTTACAAAGGCGTAGATGGTTTCCTAGGGTTTTTGACTGGATCTGCGTAATTTTATGGGTTGATTTGGTCGGCATTGTTGGTGTTTGAGAAGAAACCTCGTCATTGTTTACAATTTTAGCGATTTCTGGCTTTTTAGCCCTTGAAAGAGAGAACTTAGTCGTATATGAAATTGAAAGCTTTTAGCTTGTTAGGTCATAATTCGGAATGTGTTTTTACCATTTGTATTAGCTATTGTTGAAATTTATCATAGGAGGGTTTGGTTTCGCTTCTACTTTAGGTTATGAGAGATTATGTTAGAAGGTACACAATTAGGAATGTTTCATTTGAGAGCTTCCTTCGTCGTTGGCTTACTGGTTCATTTGCTTTAGGGTATTCTCACAAGTGTAATTCTGGGAGCTGCGTAATCTCATAGTTGATACGAATAGTCATCTTGAACAAGACTCCAATATGAGTGGTGTCTCTGTTCGAACAAATGGATCTAGCATGCTGAGTTTCGATGGGTCAGAAAGTCGTGGAAGCGTGGATGATAGTAAGAAAGGTAACGTTATCTAGTCAGTCATTTGTTTGCTGTTTATTTTCTCATTTCTTCAGAATATTGAAACAAGTTTTCTGAAGCATTTAACTTTCAGAACTTGAGTTCTAATTAGATTATCCGAGTGATTAGCGAGTATGGCAAAGTATAATCAACAATCTTGAATGAGTCGATTTCTCTTGCTTGATATAGTTTGTCATATTCAAACATGGTCACTGCAGAAATGAACCTTTAAGATAGACTCTCATATTAGGTGTATGAGTAAACATAAATGGGACCATAGTTTTTGTTTTCACCCTTCATCTATTTCTTCTTAATTTTGTTCTCAGGTCACCAGAGTTTGGTGGAGTGGTTAAATGAGACGCTTCCTTATTTGAATTTACCATGGGAAGCTTCAGAGGACGAACTCAGAGCGTGCTTGAGGGATGGATCTGTCTTGTGTAGCCTTTTGAACCAGCTTAGTCCTGGTTCAATGAGAATGGTACAAACAAGTTTTGATTTTGTAGACTTACATTTCTCTTTTGTGCTAAGCTCCTGTTTATGTGTCTTTTTCCGCCTTATTCATTTGCTGCTACACTCACGCTCCTTGGCTATTCTATAGGAAGGCAGCTTTGAACCTGCTTTTGTAAAAATTGAGCGGTTTCTGACTGCTATGGATGAAATGGCCCTGCCTAGGTTCGAGGTTTCAGACATAGAGCAGGTTTGTTATGTTTTCATGTATAGAATACTTCGTTTTTATCTCTAAACCGTGGAACTCAAATGAGAAAGTGGTTGTGGGGTTGCCACCTTGGCTTTAATAAATCAAATCAGTTCAGTGTAGCTATATTTATGTTAAAATTGGCCTCGTTTTAGACATCCGCTGGCTGCAACACTGTTATAATTACGGCTATATTCTGACGATAAGATTGCATGATTACTGCGCCCATGTCTTTTCTTCTATCTGCCCTCTCTTGTATTTATCTATTGAATTATGATTCCTAATAAAAAGTAAAAAGCAGGGGGATATGGTGCCAGTTTTACAGTCCCTTAAGGCGCTTAAAGCAAGTTTTTCCGATGGTGGTTATGAAAAGAACGCACTAGGTGCGAAGAGGAGATGGAGCTTGCCAGAGGATCACTCGGGCTCAAGAGGGGATGACCGTAACTTTACTGATGGAATCCAGTCGAAGGAAGGATCAGAGATAGATATATCTGACGCTAAAATTTCAGAGTTACTAAAATCGAACAGTTTACGAGTAAAGTATTCTAACATATATTTTGTCGATTGTGTTAGATCTTTTAGCTTTTACCTCTGTTTCTGATTCAAAGGTCATTTCCTTTGTTTTGACAGACTGCTCCTACTCGGTCACTGTTTGACATGCTGGATAAGCTTCTAGATGAGAGCATGAAGAAGATGAATGGACATGTGTCTCATGTATGAAAAAAGATTGAGCTACTGATGCCATCCTTCTCTTGATTCTTGGTTTTTGGTTTGACGAGATTGTCAGTCCTTGGNCCATTGAATATTTCTTCTTAATCTCCATTATGTTTCTCCCCTTTCTTTTCTTGTGTTGTTTAGGCTATGGCATCTCTCTTGAGCGCACTCGTGCAAGTGATAGAACAGCGAATCTCAAATCAAGCTGAAAACTTAAAGAATGTGAGTTATTACCTAAGGTTTTTCTTCCTATTTTTTTCCTGTGATGTTCATATCATCCCCCTGACCAAGTAATGAAACTTGCTTATGAAACGGGTGCAGCAAAATATACTCTTTAGGGTACGTGAAGAAAAATACAGGTCAAGAATAAAGGTGTTAGAAACCTTGGCAGCAGGGACAACAGAGGAAAACGAGGTACTATCGTCTCTGGTTCCAGACTTCCAGTGTTTCTCTTTACTCCTTTTTTCTTCTATATTGCTTATTGATTGGTCTTGCTGTTTTTCTTTGTTGTAGATTGTTACAAACTGTATGGAGCATATAAAGGTATGTTATTAATACAATATATATTATACTTGGCTCTTGCATCCGGAAAAGTTGGTTTACATTAGGCCCAAAATTTTGAGCATCTTACTTGTGGAAAATAACCATATAATCAATTGTCGAAATTGATAAAGGTTCAGTATCAGAGATCCTGTAATAGAACCATTGTGTCCTTAAAAACGTGATCATTTTTGCAGAAATTTCTCAACACATGTTTTTAAAATGGTGATTTTTGTTGCTGTGCTCTCTGTAGCTTGAAAAAAACAGAATAGAAGAGAGAGAAAGGTCAGAAGAAAAAGATGTGCTGCGACTGAAAAAGGAAAAAGAGCACAGTGATGCTGAGATTGGCAAACTGAAGCAGGAACTCAAAGTGGTGAAAGAGGCACATGAAAACCAGTGCTTGGATTTACAAGCAAAAGTACAAAAAACTAAACTGGAGTTGGAGAAGAAGTTAAAGGATGCAGAGTTACAGGTAGTAGATTCAACTAGGAAGGTGAAAGAACTCGAGAAGTTGTGCCAATCTAAATCTCAAAAATGGGAGAAAAAAGAATGCACATACCAGAACTTTATAAACAACCAGGCTGAGGCCTTGCAGGTTGACTTTATCCATAGTATTCTAAACATTGGTTACCTCTGGTAGTTATTTAACTGATATAGGTCTGTGAATTATCCAGGAGTTGAATGCTACTTCGGTGTCTATAAAACATGACGTCTTAAGGACACAGAAGAAATACTTTGAGGATCTAAACTACTATGGTAAGATTCATTGCTGTCATTAATTGTTTATGATTGCTTGACTTCAATTTGTATTTCGGAGTTCATGCATTCATATTTATAATCGTTCTGTCTAGGTTTAAAGCTCAAAGGAGTGGCAGATGCAGCGAAAAATTACCATGTGGTCCTTGAAGAAAACCGAAGACTGTACAACGAAGTGCAAGAATTGAAAGGTAAAACTCTTTTAGTCAATGTACTTTGTTTAAATTTGACCATTCAATAATTGACTTTGGTTCTTTCTCTTGTTTTTAGGAAATATCAGAGTCTATTGCCGAATTAGACCATTCCTTCCAGGGCAAAACAGTAGACAAACAACAATAGAATACATTGGTGAGAATGGTGAATTGGTGGTTGCGAATCCCTTAAAGCAAGGGAAAGATACTCATCGGTTATTTAAATTCAACAAAGTTTTCGGACAAGCAGCTACTCAAGGTTTAAACCTCTTTCCCTCTTATTTATTGTTAGTGTTCTCCTCTACTTCTTCTAGTTTACGTTGGCATCAGGTATCTAGGTCATCTAGTTAAGGAATATATCTATACATTTATTTATGTACTAAATCTGTTTTTTATGCAGAGGAGGTTTTCCTGGATACTCGACCATTAATTCGATCCATTCTTGATGGCTACAATGTTTGTATATTTGCCTATGGTCAGACGGGCTCTGGAAAAACTTATACAATGGTAAATGACAAGCCTGATTTTGTTCCTTTTATGCTTTAGCCAAGCATTATAAGTTTCTCATAGACATTCATTTTGTTGACACAGAGTGGGCCAAGCATAACTTCAAAAGAAGACTGGGGTGTCAATTATAGAGCTCTGAACGACTTGTTTCAATTAACTCAGATTAGACAAAACACTGTCGTGTATGAAGTTGGTGTTCAAATGGTTGAGATATATAACGAGCAAGTTCGTGACATACTTTCTGATGGTGGTTCCAATCGAAGATATCCTTCTCTAATCTAATTTAGCGGCTACATATTTTTTGGCTCCATATGGGAAATTGGTATTGGTCTCAGGTCTCACTATTATGCTGTGGTTGTGTTCAATATAATTTTTCCTTAACTTGCATACATTAGGGATTTGGAATACTGCCTTACCAAATGGGCTAGCAGTCCCTGATGCAAGCATGCATTGTGTGAGATCAACTGAAGATGTCCTCGAGCTGATGAATATTGGGCTAATGAACAGAACCGTTGGTGCTACAGCTCTCAATGAAAGAAGTAGTAGATCACACTGGTTTGTATACTTTTCCTTGCAATTTGTTTTACCTTCCGTTATTGTCTAACTCTAGTTGTGCAAGGACTGAACAAAGCAATGTTGGCCATTCTCTGCAGTGTTCTTTCTGTTCATGTTCGTGGTGTCGACGTGGAAACCGACTCTGTTTTGCGTGGTAGTTTGCATTTGGTCGATCTTGCTGGAAGTGAGAGGGTTGATCGCTCTGAGGCAACTGGAGAGAGGCTCAAGGAAGCTCAGCACATAAACAAATCACTGTCAGCCCTTGGAGATGTCATCTTTGCTCTAGCGCACAAGAACCCTCATGTTCCGTACAGAAACAGCAAATTGACTCAAGTCCTTCAAAGTTCCTTGGGTACTCTATTAAACCCCATTTGAAGAAAACGTGCACATTTTCGTTGCACTCATTGAATGATATATCTGTTGGCTTTATGTTGTTGGTTCCCTTAACTCTTTGTTTTAACTAGTTTCTTTCGTTTGGTAGGAGGACAGGCCAAAACTCTTATGTTTGTTCAAGTCAATCCTGATGGAGATTCATATGCTGAGACAGTAAGCACTTTGAAATTCGCCGAAAGGGTTTCTGGTGTTGAGTTGGGTGCAGCAAAAAGTAATAAAGAGGGACGAGATGTGAGACATCTCATGGAACAGGTGCTTATTTCTTTTTTTTTTTCTCTCTCTCTCTCAACATATATTTTTGGCCACTGAATATAAAAGAAAACAAGGGTATTTGTATCTTAATATCCATTGATATCACAGGTATCGAGCTTGAAGGATGTAATTGCCAAGAAAGATGAAGAGCTTCAAAATTTTCAGAAGTTGAAAGGAAATAATGCAACCGTCTTAAAACGTGGTTTAAGCAATTTAAGGTTGTTGGGACCTTCATCACCTAGAAGACATTCTATGAGTGTTTCACCAAATTCTCAAAGAGGAAAGGCCTCTGGTTTATTTCGAAGAGCAGCCTCAGATGTTGACAACTGTTCAGAATATAGTAGCAAGCATTCCGATTCTGGTTCACAGCATTCATCAGATGAACGCAGACAACAAAAGGATCTTCACCAATCATCTAAGTATGCTGGTGGAGCTAAAGAAATTGACTTAGATGAAGATATTGAACTCATAGGCCTTGCACATGGTGATTCTGAGGAAAGATTGAGCGATATCTCTGATAGTTGTCTTTCGATGGGAACAGAAACTGATGGTTCCATAAGCAGTGCAGTGGAGTTGACTCTTTTCCCTGAAACCGTGAAACCTCTTGAAATAACCGAACGACCTGAAACACACATGATCTCTGAGAAACCCGAGAAATCAGCGAAAATGNGGAAAACCGAGCCAAAAGAAAGGTTAGTGTCCTCTACTAGCAAACTTTAATAGAACAATCTGAATGCTGGAGGTTTATTTACGGATTCTTTTGTTTGTTTTGTATTTGACTTTTAAAAGCAGAACTAATATTCCATCGAGGATTCCGAAGCAGACCGCGAAACCACCAGGCCAAACCAGACCCTCTCGTCTGTCAATTGCCACTAGCTCCTCCTCTAAGGCCTTAACAAGTAATGTCCTCTGCACATTAACTCTTTGACTTGTGTCCTAAAAACCAAATTTGTGTCTAATTACACTCTTAAGCCGTTGCAATCAGGATCATATGAAGTAGATGCTTTGTTTATACACCAAAGAGAATCTCACTTTAGATCTTTAGCGTGAATATATCCTGATGAATCATCTCGTTTTGTTGAACGTCCTCAGGTGCGAAAAGACCGACAATTAGCACATCATCTTCAGCAAAACCACTCAACAAAAGGCGGTGAAAACTCGACGGGCTGGAGGAAGATTTGTGATGGATTTGATCTGATGGTATTTAGTTGCTAATTGTGTAACTAAGCATGTGATGTCTTCTATGTAAACACCTAATTTAATACCATAACTAAAAGTGTTGTTTTGTCTTTAGTGTTAACTTAATATTCCTGTCCACCTAAAAGCTTTCAGGTTTTTTACACGATTCTGATGTTTCTACATAACTGGAATTTTGAAATTGGTGGGCTTTAAACTTGGCCCGTATACTTTACCAACCCCATATGAGTATTTCTATTATTTTATTTTTTTAGTTGGTTGGTAGTCATTTGAAAATTATTCTGTTTTTTTGGTGAGAGACTAGAAGTCAATGGTATAGAATTGACTCCATATATTTTACCAACATCATGATGAGACTCTCATGACTCATCGTAGATTTTACCAAACATCATGATGAGACTTATATTATACATTTATATTTTCAATTAGGAAAAATCAATGCCAACTACGCCTCGTAAAATATATGGAAAACTATTTTAAATATAGAAATATGTTCTAAACTACATAGATTATTATATAATATATGTTCTAAACATATATTAAGTATATGTTTAAAAATTACAAATTGATATTTTTTCATAAATATTTATCAATTTGGAATTATTTTATAGTTATTTTCTAAAAAAATAAAAAAAATGAAAAACTTACAAAATTTAACAAATTAAAAGAAAATTCCTAAATTTTTTAAAATATAAGGAAAAAATAATAATTAAATTTTTATTATTAAAAAAATAAGATGACAATTACAAAAATGCTACTTTTAGTGTGTACATTTGTAAAAATACCACTTAGGGGTATCCATTTGCAAAAATGCCACTGATATGGATTTTCAAAGCTTATGTCCTAAAATTACAAACCTTAAAAAATATTTTGAACCATAAAACCGCTAAAACCCTCAAACTAAACTCTAATACAACACTGTTAACTCAAACGTAAATGATATAATGAATTTTTTTTTTGAAAAAGTGATATTTTTGCATAATTTTGAAAAATGACATTTTTGAAAAGTAACTCTTGAAAAGTGGCAATTTTTAAAATTTCTCAAAGATAAGTACCAAAATTTCTAAAATTACAAAATTCAAAAAAAACAAAATTCCAAAAATAATTAAATTTAACAAAATACA